CTGTTGTATGAAAAATTTAAATGAACAACAAACGAATAGAATTGTTAGGCAGAGATGGCGTACCGTATTTCGCTTGTTAAGTTACTACCTACATACCACAACATGCTCAATCGACCTCATTCTGGATGTTTTGGGATAACAAAAAAGCTGGGATGATAATTTACGTTTTACCTAAAGTGAATGAGAGTATGAGAGTTTACTGTTCAATGCCTTCTAGACCTGCGGTCAACCAGTTGCTCGTTTGGCGGGAACACACACGTGCAACACTAGCGCCATCTATTGGTGACGATCAGTTCCCCACGACGAGTTCCCCACGACCAGTTTGACTCACGAACAGTTCACGTACACCCGAAGACCCATGAAGATTAATTTTCGACGAGCGCGCTGTGCTTGCGGGGCGTGGCGGGGGCGCGCAGGGGGGCCATCGATATTCCTAACCTGACGTGTATGACGGTCAGGGTATGATGACGCGGCGGAGGCCTTTTTCTCGATGTGCGGTCTTCGCGAGTGCAGCGCGTTATATATATTTTTTCCGGAGCGCGGCGCGGTGCAGAAATCCCACACCGCATATGATGGCCCGGCGCGTCGTTGAGGCAGGTTATATATATATATATATATCGTCGGCCCGGCGCGTCGTTGAGGCAGGTCCGCGACGACGTGGAGGCTGGAGGGACGCGGGGCCCCTGGCCGCTCTGTTTTACGGTCCGCGCCGTACAAAAACATGTGTTAATACGAGTTGGGCCGGATAGCGAGGCGGCTTTGGTCTTCCCCCGCGCGCCGCCGCCGCCGCGCCACTCCGTCGTCGTCGCCGACCTCAACGGCATTACACGGGCCTGGCATTTACGGCCACGTAAATTGTGCGCGTCGTTTCCGCACACCTCTCCTGCCCGGTCGCGGCGGCCTCTGCTGCTGGCTCGCTGGCGTGCGGGGACCTCGTGGCCGGCCCGGGGTCCCGGCGGGGCCGCCTCGCGGGTCTGCTCGCTTGGTCCAGACAGACCGGGAGCCCGGCGAGCGAGCAGAGTGAGCGGTCAGGAGGACCCGCCCCGCTGCGCCACTCGACGCGGCGACAAGGTGCGAAAGCGCGGCATCTTGTCGCGATGGCGCCCGTTTTTATTTCGTTTAATCGCCGTGGAAATTTATTATCCGAGAGAGAGGGAGAGAGAGAGAGAGAGAGAGAGAGAGAGAGAGAGAGAGAGAGAGAGCTGCTGTATGTGTGTGAGAGCGCGTCTTGGTCGCCCTGGTCGCGATAGAGTCACTGAACCTGTTCCCGTATTCACGAGGCGCCCCGGCGACGGCTCGGCTCGGCGTGGAGAAAGGATTCGCCGCGCCTATTGTGGATCAATGTTGTCTTTGTGGGATGATCCTTCGGGCCGACCCGACCGGCCGGCGGGCCAAGCCTGCCGGGCCCCGGGGGAGCAGAGGGGGGGAGCTGCGACTGGGGCGGGAAGGTGGAAGGGTCTTTTAATCATGTTGTCTTTATCGGGTGGCTGACGAACGCCTTGTTTCATGTTTTTTAATATTTTGTTTATTTTTTTGCCTGTTAGGTTCGCTGGACGGCGACCCGGAGACCCGGGACTCGCAGACGGAGAACAAGAGTCCGGACGACGGCAACTCGGGGTCCAAGCGGCGGGGGCCGAGGACCACCATCAAGGCCAAGCAGCTCGACATCCTCAAGACGGCCTTCTCGCAAACGCCCAAGCCCACCAGGCACATCCGGGAGCAGCTCGCCAAGGAGACGGGACTGCCCATGAGGGTTATCCAGGTGAGGACACGATACGGCGCGCGGTGACCCCCCGAGGTGACCTCTCGGTGTGACCTCTCGGTGTGACCTCCCGACTGACCTTCAACCAGAAGCATACGGTGCATCAACCTCGCCTTAGCCGGAGGGCGGGGCGAGGCGGGCGCGGCTTGCCTTCCTATGACCGCTTCCGTTCTCACAGGCTGCGCCCATACCTGGAGTAAAACAGAACGCCCACCGCCCCCGCCCCACCCCGCACCATACGCCCCGCAGGACGGTGCGCCCTGACCCAGAACACCCGAGTGAATGAATTACTTGTCGCTCGGACTGTACTAATTAATGATCGACGCGGTGGATGGGTGGATGCGGCCCGAGAGACGGAGACAGTCTGCGAGAGTGAGTGAGAGAGAGAGAGAGAGAGAGAGAGAGAGAGAGAGGGAGAGAGGAGGGGGAGACAAGGGGGAACCTACAAAAAGAGAAGGAGCCCGCGCGGAGCGAGTGATCACAAACGTAAACCGCGTCTATACCGCGACAAATGGGATGCATTCCTCCAGCAGAGACAGTCAGACGGACGGGCGG